AACAGCTCCAAATTTAGAAATCCTCTTTGTTAATCCATTTACTTCCAAAGAAGAGTTGTAGTAATGAAGAAGAATCTGCCAAAGAAACCATGAACTTCAGAACCAAAGAACACAAACACAAACACAATCCATTTTCAAGGCCCACTTTGATGCAAAAAGGCTCTGGCAGGGTTCTCATGTTGATCCAATAAAATAAAATTGCCAAAAGATAACAAGGCAGAGCACACAACCTTGGAATCTTCTGGTGATGAAATTATGATGCCAGGCACCCTCATTGGAGTTGGGTTAAGCCGAAAGCTTAACACAAAAGAATCCATATAGAAGATGACCCCAGCAGCACTCAAGTTCTTCGCTATCTGTGAAGCCTGTTTAACCGTGGAAAGCCCGAGCACGAATCTAATCGAGTAGCTGCAGATTAAAAGTTTCCCTTTGATCAGATCCCGATCAAAGTTACTGGAGTCTTGGCATTCACTCACGTACATGTCCTCTGAAACATGTGTGCCATTTTTCAATGCATGCATTGCAGCAATCAGTTTGTACTTCGTGCCATTATAAGTTCCAGCTGAATACAAAAGTAAGAATTAGATTTATCTTCCACAAAAATAGGATCATCATTAAAATGCGGGCAAGGAAAACAAGAAACTACGTGCAAGTCCAACGCCTGGGATGATGACGTTATTGCCAAGGGTTATAGAGTTAGCATAGGTTCTATCATGAGAAGCAGCACCAACAGTAAAGATCCATGGACTGAAGGAAGACATGCTCTTTGGTGCTGGTCCAGTATTGCCAGCTGCTTGCACAACAAATATACCAGCCTTTACTGCAGAGAGCAGTGCCATGTCTATGGGATTAAAAAACGTCGCAATGCCAGGGGGCCGCCTATTTGGTGTGATTGATAAACTTATTATATCCACCCCATCTTCAGCAGCCTACAAAGAAAACCATAGATTACTATATACCACAAAACACACACAAACAAAAGAATAGAAAGAAGATGAGGCATTCACGACACCTGATCAACTCCAGCAACGACATCGGCAGCGAAACCACCAAAGCTTTTGTACAGTGCCTTGTAAACAGCAATGCTGAATAAAGAAGCATAAGAAAGCAGTCAACACAAGGAAGCGGATGCAACTCATGCAGTAATATGTACTTACTGTGAACGAGGGGCCATCCCACTAGCATTTCCAAAGTGATGTCCAGCAACTACCACTGGAATGCCATGGTTTCCAGCAGCAATTGAAGCTGTGTGCCTACATATATTAGTTTTACTCCAATTACTACATAACCTTCTGTATAGCCTTCCTCTAAAGATAGTACTAATTTCACGAACAGGAATTATATATATCTTATTTTCATAGTTTCAAACAACTGGGCATCTATGTTAGTTTGATCAGCAAACATCCAAACAAAGAAAGAAATACATACGTGCCATGTCCATCGACATCAAATGGCGATGCATAATCCTGAGATGCATTAAATATTCCCCTTGTTATAGCTGATGCTGCAAAATGGCGCGCTCCAACAAGCTTCCGATTGCATGATCCAGACGGGAAATCAGGAGTTACCTCACAGATTCCCGAGAAGTGGGCCGGAATGGGAAACGGATTATCAGTCAAATCATCAGCAAAGCTGGGATGTGTAGGGTCAATGCCAGTGTCGACGAACCCTATCACAATCTCAGCTCCAGCAGATTCATAGCCACCATCTTGAGACCAAGCTCCCTGCGGCAACCCCAAGAACTGTGGAGTATGTGTCGTAGCTGTTCTAACAGAGAAATCCATGACGACATTTGCCACCTCTCTCCTCTTTGAAAGTTTAGTTGCCTTTCAATTAAAAGAAACCAGTAAATCAAAACGTACTTGGTGCATCTCTTTAACTTCTTCTGAGCAAATTTTATCAGATAAACACAAACAATCAAACACCATCATACTTTAAAGTAGGGAAACAATGATGATGAAGCCAAAAAGGAGGGAACATATGACAATATTGTACCTGTTCTTCAGTAACAAACACAGCAAATCCATTGATCAAGAAATGGTAACTGTAGAGCTTTAGATATTTCTCCCCCTTCAAGACCCTCTTCAACAATGAATCGTGAACTCGGGCTATATAAGACCTATATCTTCCATGCTTTCTCGATATGTTTCTAAATAAATAACATGAAAGAAGTAAAGTTCAAAATATAATTTTAAGACATAGCTACAAAACCTGTACGAGAAGGAAACAGATTAACCAGAAGGATTGAACAACAAGTTAAACAAACAATAACTTCTATCAATGATCATTAACTGTGCATCCAGGGCATAGTTTTCTACTTTACATAATAACAAAACATTGATACAGTACACAGAAATTAGCAAAATAATAGTTACCATAGAAGTACCAAAAGTTCAAGAACAAGAAAACTTTGACAGAGAGAAAGAAATACCCAGAAAAAGTTACCAATGTCAACTACTTTAAAGAGGACATATCAACAACTCATGTTTAAAAAAACTACACTAATTGCATGTCTTACACAACAAGTTTTCATCATACTAAGTCAAGTAATGCTTGTATTAGAGAGAGGGGACGAGAGTGATGGAGAAGTACCTTGGTTTGTGGATGCTTAATCCACCAGAAGTAGCAAGCCTAGAAGAAGTGGTATTCTGTCTAAGCTGAGCATAATAATTAGTAGAAGAAGGAGGTTCCTTAAGGGTCACTATGTACACAGCTGTTGAATCTCCAAATTCATCAACACAAGATGTGCATAGAAACATCCCAATACAGACAACAACACAAAGCAAAGGTGCACAGTGAATTATATCCATTAGGGGACACTAACCAACCCAAAACAATGCTCCCAATCTCTGAGTACTCAAATTGGAATAAGGGATGCTCCAACACGAAACTAATAAACTCTAATCTACAGCCTAACAGTTCCAAGAAGGCAGTGAAAAAACAGCCATGAAATCTTCTCCTCTCAAGTGGGGAAGCGATAATAATGGCCAAGAAAGCAGACCCTTCTTCTTTTCGGTGATAAAGAAAGAACCCACCACTATTCTTCACTTTTTGTGCGTCCGTTGAGAGAGTGAGAGAGAAGGTACAGGAAGCGAATACCCAATCCAAGCTTTCTTGGGTACCGTGAATTTGAACGTTTTGTTAACTCAAAGCCAAAAAAACAAAAGGGAAAGAAAATAGAGAGAAATACAGGGCAGAGGCAAGTAAAGACACAGAAATGTTTTCTTTGTTCTTATTCTATAATCAGACTGAACGGAACTTTATGGTGTTGGCCTGTAACTCAAGAAAAATGATTTCAGGAACAAGGCCCATTTTTAATTCAAACAAATACATCTGATATCAAACAAAACGGCTCTTAATATGGAAATCTCATATTATAGCAATGACCCACATCCAAACACAAGTTCAAAATTAAGATTTCATAATAAAGATTGAATTTTTATGTATGTAATGTAATAGGGCAAGAACTTCCATGGAAGTACAAAGTGGGGTACGTGTGAGAAATTAATTGGTCCTCACCCATAAATTTTGCCCCTTTTCTCTTTACTTCATTTTCTTTTGTCTATTTGCTCCCAACGTTCGATTTTTTGAAGCTCACCCGTGAGAGAGAGAGAGTTGTAGAGAGAGAAAATGTGGATACTGGTTTAGTTTTGTGGGAGTATTGTGGGACGGTGAAGCCTTTAGGCGCTCGCACGTGGCAAAAGTGTATTTTATTTAATTTAGTTTCATAATTAGCAATTATAATGGCCATATTATCTCATGAAAATCCACCATTACTTTTCCTCATTTTCTGACTTCAGTTCAGGACCATCTTTTCTTCTAATCATTGTCTTAAAACTTTTACATATATATCAAACCAAATTAGTGAATAATATTGGACTTTATGGTAAAAATTATGTAAATTAACAGTGTATTATTAGTTGAAAAGGAGTTTGATCATGAAGATCACAGTATGGCCAAACATATCTACTTCTTCTGTTTGAGCATGCTATTGGTCATAAATCCTTGAGCACTCCTATGCATGAATAAGTAAAGATATCTAACGAAGAAAACTTGCTTAATTTATTAACTTGGAATGAAAAAAAAATATATATTTGACGAGTATCGTATCGTCGTATATGTTGTTGCTCTGTCTAAACATGCTTTCTGTTCTCCTACTTTGTTTTTGCAGAGTGTTTATTCTATTATGCTCTTTTCAAAGAGAAAATGTAACTTTTATAAGGTATAATTAACTCATCCAAACTTACAATGAAGTTGGTTGGAGTGGAAGGTGAAAAACAAAGGTAAATTAACCATTTTAACTTTACTTTAGGCATGGGATTCTAAAAATCACCATTTGTTGTGAAATTTTATGAGTGTTCTTTCATACTTATGGCATCAAAGGACACTTTATCTTTGTCAAAGTGGTAGGCCCAACAAAAGGACATCATAAGGCAACAGATGTAGTAATTTTGATGTAGTATTGACTGTCTCGAAAGGAACCTGATTCCACAATCATTTACATCACTTCCTCTCTGATTTTTCATTTATAATCCTCCCCCCATGTGGAGCAAACAATTTATGTTGCTCACCAAAAGAAAAGTGCTAAAAGTTGAGTACCCTTTCTTTTCTTCATGTTATAATAACATTTGGAATTATATGATATTTACAGAAAAAAGATGTTTTTTATCAATTACTTTTCTTTTAATTATCAACCAAAAACCTAAGGAACATACAAATTATAATGTTGCAACAAAGAGAGACATTACTGTGAAAAAAAGATCATCAAAAGCATTTTTCTTTCAACACTTGGATTTCCCCTTCTCAATTGCCCCTCACCTTCCGATTAAAAGAGTATGAACTTGGGTGATTGAACTATGCTCAGTACCGTTCAAGGTAAGAGTCAGAAGTTTGATTTTTCTTTTCTTTCAAACAACGTTAATTTATAAATTTACGTCCTTGCTTGTTTCCAAACACCCGGCTTCCATTTTTTACAACAGAACAACACAACTAAGAGAGTGTAGCCCAGAATTTTGAATGCATACAAAACAAAGCATATGGGTCCACTAGACGAATCCTGACCTGTTCATATCTACTTCTGGTGGCACAGAGCAAAGAGAGTGACAAAACATGGCGTGAAAATATGGCCATACCTTTTACAACTTAGATCCTAGTTGGTATATGCCCCCCAAAAGGTGGAGCATAGTTTGATCCAAGCATTCATGGCAATTGTCTCCCTGACAAAGGAAGAAAATTTTGGATTGAGCAAACTACCATTGTTATATGGACAGTTTAGACTAATATAGAGTCAAAGAACCTTTGAAGATACGGCTCTCATTCATGCTACTTGGAAGGTTTTTTTTTTCCATAGAAATCCCTTGGCTGGCTTGAGATGTGCTTCTTCCTCCTCTGTAATCCATCCTTCAATCAATCTTCATTACATTTGTTTGAGGAGAAAAAAATGTCGTATATATATTTTCTCCTTTTTAACAGGATAGATGTCCTAAAATACATAACCTTCAGTTCGTACTATATGGGTTTTAGGTCCGCAAGTAATTGAAAGACCTACATAATGCCTAACACAGATTAAAAAGAGGGGAGCAAGCGAATCTACCTAGAGACATGGCGATCAGGAATGGGTAACTCACATTAAAATCCTGCACTCGAACTACATCTAATTGTTAAATTGCAAAATGAGGGCCACAATTTGCTCATAACAGTACATTGTCGAATCCTACAGCAGCATCAACACAAATTCAGACAGAGATGAACCAAGCTGTATCCCCCTGGCTAGTGAAACGCAGGTTGAACCAACATAAGATAATATCCACTGAAAGTCTCCACAGATCTTCACATGTAAGTATGTCTGCAACAAATACCGATCTGAGTTATTGAGAAATGTTGAATCTCAGATGGCTGTTAAGAAAAATTCAAAAACTTGAGATGACAAAAATTTCCCCTAAAGTCCTGCAGAAAAATCATCTTGGTTTACAACCTGGTAACAGCCTTTACTACCCCAATATACCTATAAAGCATTCAGATCTTGTAAACAGGGGGCACATTTTACCAACAGGGTTGCTGGGATAGAGAAAGCGGAAAAACAAACAGTTTCAGCACAGAGCAACCAATGAGACAGCTCCCCTAAGTGATAAATTAAACATACAATTCAAAGTGTCATCAAGGAATCAAGAAATACACGATTATTAGTGTCTTTTCCATCCTTATTAGAGGTGTCCATTTTACCCACGGGGCCCAAACGGGGAGGGGATTCCCCATTTAGACGGGGAATGGGGGAGAGGAGTGGAGAACATTTTTAAGCGTTAGATAAATAGGCCAAGGAGTGGATTATATTCCACATCTACCATCTATTAGGATTTATAAGATTTTTTAATAAACGGAAAAAAATTACTTGGAGAACCCAACCCAGCAAATTCCTCACCCTGATTCTTGCAAAAATAAATGAAAATTTTCACAGGGATAAGGAATGAAATAGGTGACAAGAATGGGGACGGGGAAGGCTTCCCTGTCCCCACCCCATGGACATCTCTGATCCTTATCAATAAAACCATACAATTTAAGTTTGTAACTAATTTTCTGAGTCAATGACTCAATTGTGGAAATTAGGGGACAATATCAATAGAAATGTGATTGCAGAAATATTAAAAAGAACAAGATCTCCCACTGAAGCATCCTTACTTTCGATGCCTGGAAAATCCCAACCTCATCGATAACAAGGGATATCTATGAACTATGAAGCTGAGAAATAAACAACTTCTTGGAGGAAATATTCATGCAATACAAAACAAAATAACAATACCCTTACAGATTTCCATTCGAGAAGGATGTTTATAGTCACAACTTGGAAAACGTAAGTCACACTGATTATTTGTAGGAACATTCAGTCAACCCATTTAATCTTCATTGTAAAAATCTTTCTTTTATGCAACAAAAGGTGTTTGCCTATTGAAGGATCTGTCAGGGAACTTGGAAGAAACCCCAAGAATGTTAAGTTTTTCCTACAGACCCACTTTGGCATTCTTAAAAATATCATAACTTATTAAGGAACCAGAAAAGAAATCATATCCTAATCACAAAGCAATGAAGAAAAAACCTACTATGAGAAGCTATAGAAGTGCAAAAAAACAAGCAACAGTATCCTAACTCCTGAACAAAAAAAGACACGACAATGACAAAAAGTAGACAGGGAAGAAGATTTGATGTATCTTTTAAGATAGCTGTGTTCTGGCAGGGGTTTTCCTCCATCCCTTGCCCCTGGGATGTCCCTTTTCCTTTTTTGGATAATTTTATTACACAAAGTTTCAAATTAAAAATGAAAGAAAGAAAAAAATATATATATTATGTTAACTTTCTTCTCAGCTTACTACATCTTTTCATCTACGCATTGTTTATAGGTTTGTTGTCAGTGAAACATTGCTGCTTCAAACTTTTGGTATCAAGCGTTATTCAAGCAGATAGGGTGAGTGTTTTTATTCTCTACTAATAAAACAACCCAAGGGGATTACAAAAAACCTTCCTAATTGGAGTCACAGGTGTTATTAAAAAAAAAGGACTAATCCGAGTTGATTGGGTCAGCTCTAATGCATAATCTGTTTGATTTATAAAACCAATTAGACAAGTTGGCATTGGAAAAATCCTTCAGCAGTTATTATGTACAGTATATTTGTTAATAATTGAACAGATTCATCAAAATTTCATGGACTAAATTGTTACTCAACAGAAAAGTACGTACCAGATGTGTTGTTTAACCAAATAAATACTATAGAGATAGTGTACTGCTAGGTCTCATTGGGTTCTCAAGGGAAAATTCTAGAACTGAACCACCTAAAATAGACTCCCAAGTGGAGGATAGTGTCAGAAAAACTAACACAAGGGAATGACGAGACATCTGTTTCTTTAAAGTGAAATAAAAAAAAGTTCTAATCTTGATTTGTAAAATGAAGAAAATAAATAATTAAAAGACGAACCCATTAAGACAATAAAGCTTCTCCACCTCAACACTGTTCCCCAGACTTCCCTTGGAAAATCCTAAAGCTTCTCTAGCGCAAAGTAGCCAAAAATGATTAATTCAGATGAACTTATCCTTGCCAGAGAAACTAATTTCGGAGATACTTTAGAGCAAAATCCTTGTTGCAGGGTGTCTGTCAACAAGCCAGCAGTAGCTGAACATGTTAAAGTGGCAACCTTCAGAGGCAGTCACTAACTATAAGCAGCAGCCATAAAATAATGGCTAATATATTCAAATGCGATCCTTTCTAAATATAGTGCTCTTAAATCTTAATCAGATGCATCCTTAATTGGTAAATTACTATAGACAGAGCATATCGGTATACTTGACTTCAATGATCGCAAGTTTCGTTGTGATAGCTAAAACGAAGAATTGGACAATAGAGGGGTAATGCTAATGATTTTCAAAGATAAAAGACATACCAGCACTATTGCTGCTGATTTTGTGGGTTGGGCGGAGGCGGCATGCCAGGACGAGGTGGTCCGTAAACAGGAACTAAGCCACCAGGCGGAGGAGGCATCCCAGGTCGAGGCGGGGGAGGTGCCATTCCAGGCCTGGGTGGAGGTGGCGGTCCCCTCATCACTTGCCCTGTTGGTGGAGGTCCCATTGGTCTCTGCGCAAATTGAGGACCTGGGAATGGTTGTGGAGGGGCTCCCCCTGGTCTCGCTGCCGAGAATTGAGGTGGAGGCATACCTCTCCCAACGGGAGGTGGACCTTGCCCTGGAAACATCGGCATCTGACCAGGTGGACGGATAACGGGGGCAGCCGGATATGACATCGGCGGAGCCGAAAGCTGAGGTACTGGCGGGCGAGAGATTTGAGGCTGCATCATCCCCGGAGCGGGTCCGCCCACTCCACGAACTGGTCCAGCAAGACCAGGCTGAGCTTGAACAAGAGGAGCAGTCGGGATACCTCTCCCAGCGGCACGGCCAATACCAGGCCCAGCCATAGCAGCAGCATTGACGGCTTTAGCACGGGACTCTTCAGCAGGCGGTGGACCCTCAACTGTCATGGAAATTACCTCTTCGCCGCGTAGAAGAACGAGGCCAAGGGTACGACGTTCGTCACGTTCCTCATTAGTCTTTTTACCCTTAGCCGGCGGAAGCTTACGGAACTCCTCGCAGTCGCCGAGAACGAGGTTCATATGCCGATCGAAGGCCATGAACTTGCCCACCAATTGGCGCCCATCTTGGATCGTGACCCTCATCCGATAATTAACGTACTGGAGCATCTTGGAGCTCTTAGACATCGACATTGTGCCAGAATTTAGATTCCCTCAACTGAGATACAATCCAGAGCTTCTTCAGCAAGAACTTCAGCAAGAACTTCAGCAAGAACTCCAGCAAGAAGAAACGAATCGAGCGGGAGTGAGGGAGAAGAGCCTAGGGTTTTAGAAATTGGAGCCAAATTGTTTGTTTTCTTTCAAATTTGCTCTTCGAGAAGAAAAAAAAAACAAAGAAACGAAAACAAAACAATGGGCCGAACACAACATTGTCGGCCCACTAGCCCAAGTCCATAACCGCATGCATAGTTCAATATAATTTGCTTCCATTACTTTTTTATTTATTATTTTTTTTCTTTTTATTTTGTTTATTTTTTACTCGTTGATTTTCCCAAATTTGTTCTATTGCTTAGTCGGTCTTCTCTCTGTATCCCTCAAGGCTGCTAGATTCAGATCTAGAAGGAGCTTGGACGAAGAAGGAAGAGTGAAAGCATGGCAGCACCGGATCATTTGTTCAATCTCAGAAATCATTTCTATTTGGGAGCGTATCAGGCCGCCATTAACAACAGTAATCTCCCCAATCTCTCCCCCGATGATGCAATTGAGAGGGATTCCATTGTTTACCGCTCTTACATTGCCCTTGGCAGCTATCAGGTCTGTTCGTGCACATTAGTGTGGTTGTAAAGTATATTGGTGATTGCTTTCAACTTGATTTGATACTCTGTCGTACTCTTTCAGCTAGTGGTTAGCGAGATCGACTCATCCGCCCCCACGCCTCTCCAAGCCGTCAAATTGCTCGCTCTTTATCTGTCTGATCCTAGCAGCAAGGTTTCATTCGTGGATCTATATCCTTTTTAGCTGATTATGTTCGTTTGGAATATAAATTCTTTCTGGAATTCATAGAATTTCAATTATAATTTTGGGTCACACATTTCTATGCCGTGTTACTTCATTCTATAAATTTAAACCATATTTGACATTCATCTGAGTTGACATGCTAAAAGTCTCAAGAAGCGTTTACTGGGAATTCAATGTTGATGACTCCATTTTATTGGCTAGTGACGTTTGGTGCCTTTTCTTTTGGGGGTTGTGGATGAATGAGGATAGGGAGCCAATTCATATTGTGGCAATGAACGGAGTTTTTAGCGTTTCATAATAAAAATTCCTGCATAATTGGATCGATATTAAAAGTCATCTAACGTGTGAATATGTTATGCAGTTCAAACCAACTTAAAAGATTTCAGATTTGACACATAGTATTGAACGATAAATCACTTTCAAAAAGGAATGAATCCGGTTTCTTATTCACAAGATCAGAGTCATTGAAGTTTCTTTACTGATTAATTAATTGAACATTGTAGGAATCTACCATTGCAAGCCTACATGAATGGTTATCAGATCCAGCCATTGGAAACAATCCTACTTTGAGGCTAATTGCAGGAATCATATTCATGCACGAGCAAGATTATAATGAAGCCCTGAAGCACACAAATGCTGGAGGAACCATGGAATTGTAAGTCTCAGTTTGAATGCTTTACCAGTCAGATAACAAGACCTAGCAATCCAAAAGTTAATCGTCCAAGCATGTCACATCTACATTTAATTAATAATATCAATGATGGAAATTTATTAGAATCAAAACTGAAATTAAGGAGAGTGTAATTGAAACTGAAGTTTCATGAATGAAAGAGACAATTTGTAATTTAACTTTTCTGTTTCTCACTGCGTGCTTTATCATCTTAAGTTCCTAATGTAAATTCAAATAGTTGATTTAGGGGAGATATTTGTGAGACTGGACGTGTATAATGTGATTGGCTCAATGAAGCCATGAGAACTTTTGCTCAAAGGGGACAATATCATACCATTCGTGGAGGGTCGTGATTCCTAACAAATAATAATAATGTAATTGGCTCAGGCCTGATGTTGTTTTTTTTACCTTGCAGGCATGCTTTGAATGTTCAAATATTTCTTAAGATGCACAGGTCAGATTATGCAGAGAGACAGCTGAGAGTCATGCAACAGACTGATGAGGATCACACATTAGCACAACTTGCAAATGCTTGGTTAAATCTGGCAGTGGTTTGTAGCTTATAGCATTTTTTTCCTTTACACTGAACGAAGGGACACTAGACTTTTGAAGGTAATCTTATTATTCTGTAATTTTTTTACTTGACCAGGGTGGTTCCAAAATACAGGAAGCATATCTCATCTTCCAAGATTTCTCTGAAAAGTATTCCATGACAAGCTTGATTTTGAATGGAAGGGCCGTCTGCTGCATGCATATGGGAAACTTTGATGAAGCAGAGACACTTCTTCTTGAAGCATTGAACAAGGTAATTTTTTAATCACCGTGCACTTGATTACTTATATTGTATATCAGAAACTGCTTATCTGAGGGGATCAAGGTTAAATTGGCACACCAAAAGACTAAGCCAGAAAAAAAAAAAAAAAAAATCCCTACACTGAACATCTTTTGTGACAAAGTTTTCTTCAATGAATTCCAAGATGATCGAACTTAAGACAGATTGAAAGTTTTCAGGACAACGAAGGATGCAAATATTTTCTATAAATTTCTGATTGTAGATAAGAAGTTGCTTTCATGTTCTCCACAGGATGCAAAAGACCCAGAAACTCTGGCCAATCTAGTTGTATGCAGTCTTCACCTTGGCAAACCAACTTCTCGTTTTCTCAGGTAATGGATAGTGATCCATGGCCAGAAATATTTTCTGCTAATATTGCTCTCTCTCTCTCTCTCTGGTTGTTGGGTTGCAATGCTGTTCTGTAGTCTGCATCTTTGTGGGAATTGGGGGTTGAGGGTAGTTTTAAGAAAGTGATGGTATTCTATGATCTCTTAAATTATAGACAGTTTAAAGTGAGGTTGGAATGACTTTCTGAGAGTAGTATTTTAAAGTAAAACATGTCTTTTTGACACTTTAGAAGGCGCTTTAATGAGGAGTTTGATATTTTAGATTCCTATATGGTACCGTAGGTCTTGTTATGCTCATCTTTGGTTTTGAGAAATTTATTTTATCCTTGTCCTGACTCCTGTCTTCACATTTAATGCTTTCCTGGAAATAAGTTGTGTTTTTATTTTAAGCTATTATGGTGAATTTTCCTGTTGATAAAAACTACCTGAGCAGTTGAATTCATCCACAAGTTGGATTAGAATTTTTCTTTCTTACCATGGCTGCTAACATACTTGCCACAAATTTTCAGCCAATTGAAACTTTCGCATCCAGACCACTTGCTTGTTAAACGCATCTCGGCTGCTGAAGAGAACTTTGATAGAGCTGTCCAGTCTGTTGTTTAGTGAGCCCTTGCTGCTTTTGAAAAGGAGATGAACATTGTTTGCTAGTTTTAAACGACAGTCTTCACCCCGCGGCCATTTACTGTTAATTGGGGCTGTTGATTTTACTCAAATTATTCGGCTATTAAATACCAAATCGAACAAAATGTCTGACAGTAGAAGTTACAAAGCTTGATTCTGGTCATTTTGTATTGAGCTTCATAGATGTGATACATGATTATTTGACTTAAGCATTTTCATTTGTCCTTGGGTTGGAATGAGTGTAAACGACTGCCCTTTAGGTTTCATTGTTTGATATTGTGCCAAATTGCAAGAGAGTACAAATAGAGAAACAGAAGTTGCAGATTATAACCATAGAGTTTAATATCAGACCGCAGGCTTCATTCTGAAGTTAATAATGAGCTATAATCTCAGTATAGCAGAATAGAGGGTGTGCTTGGTTATTAAATTCATTCGGATACCAAGTGGAGACTTATGGATTTAACAAATGGAGTCTTCGATGATCTTTTCAAAATTCCAACCAAACCATAAGCTTATTAAAGTTCAGATGACTCCTTTCAGGACATGAATGCATGCAAATGGCTTAATTTCCTTCATTCACGACTAACAAGTGCAAAACAGATCCAAAACTCATTTCATTTTTCCGTTAGGCATACTTAACGCATTCATTGCACAATCTAGTAATGCAATCTCAAACAGATGATGATGTTGATGGCAAAGGAAACAGGTGACAAAGAAGGGTAATTTCTGCACAGACATCCCATTATTTTCAACTACATCGTTTCAAGTTCATGTGACAAACGAACTGTTTCCTAAAACTACTGCATAATAATAATGTAAGGGCATCGAATGTAACTTCATGTAAAGGTAAATTTTGAATACAAAAAAAGGAAAAAAAAATCCGACCACTCTGCTCCCAATCCATCTGCTGAAGTAGCAACAGAAGCACAGCTGAAGTTAATATCTCAAAGAGTTAAATCCTTCTTTCATTCATGGAGAGCCATTCAAGAGCTTCCATAGCCTTTAAGATGTGACTTTTGCCATCTCCACGCTACCTTTAAGCTTTGTTCAAGATCTGTATACTGAGCTGTCCAGTTGAGTTCCTTATTTATCTTTGTTGGGTCACTATAGACTTCTGCATAATCGCCCGGTCGACGGTCAAGATAATCGACTTTGATTTTAACCCCAGTTGCCTTCTTGCATGCTTCTACGAACTCCTTAACTGATCTACCTGATTAAAACACCAAAAAACAACTCTGAGCTGTGAGGAATGTAGTTGAAGTGTATGTTTTTTTTTTCCTTCATATTTTGAGATGAGCAAACCTTTTCCAGTGCCAACATTATATATTCCAACTTTTCCAGCCTCTGCCTTTGCAAGAGCTTTCACATGAGCATCAACCAGATCAGTGACATCGATGTAATCCCGGACGCAAGTTCCATCATGTGTAGTGTAATCTGTTCCTCTAACCTACAATATTTCAACTTTAATGTTTATTAAGGGCAAACAAAGATGAAAACTGAAAAGGAAGGAAATTTTTATGCAAGTATGAAGCAGGCCGTTTCAGGCGAAAAAGAGGATAATCATACCTTAAGTCCAGGAATAATGCCGCGAGCTGCATCAAAGCAAGCACCTGAAATTCGTCCCTGCTCACGAAGCTCGGGTCTAGGAGCTTCACCTAACCTACCCTCTGGGTCTGATCCAATCACATTGAAGTATCTGAAGTTTTAAACATACCCAGAAACAAAACTTGTAAGCTGTGATAATAATTAGAAAAAATAAAGCTCTGAGAACGAACACAAATTTCATAAAGACAAGCTGATAAAAAAAAGTGTTCAACAAGCGGTTAATATATAACAATACCAACCGCAAGATCATGACTGCCATTTTTGAAGTTTTGGAAAAATCTTTAATGATATCCTCTGCCATCTTCTTGGCTTTCCCGTAAGGATTGATAGGGAGCTGCAGGCAACCATATCAATGTTAGTTGAAGCTCATAAAGGACTCAAGTTTCAGTATTTTGAATAAAAACACAATCATTTACAGAAGGTTCAAGTAAAATACTTGTGGAGTTTCTTCAGTGATCGGCATTTTTTCCGGTTCACCATATGTGGCACATGTACTAGAATATATCAGTTTCTTCACACCATGGGCCGCCATCGCCTCTAGAACTGTCAGTGTATTTGATGTAATATTGTGATAATACCTACATTAAAAGAAAACGTTATAATCAATATGCTTTTCTTTTCCAGCAGACAATTCTTGCAAAAGAAAAAAAAGAGTTCTTCGAGAAAGAATGCTTACTTCAGTGGATGAACGGTACTCTCACCAACATAAGCAACAGCAGCAAAATGCATGACAGCATCAAAAGCATTCTCTGAAAATATCTTGTTAACCTGAAAACAAACATTCACTTTTAGAGTGTTGATCCTAACGTTCTCAAGAAACATTTAAACAGAATATGTGAAGACAGTACAGATTTGGGGTCTCCCAAGTCAGCATAAATGAATTGAAGCCTCCCAGGTTCTGGAAATAGTTCTTGCAGAACCTTCACGGCACCGAGATTTCCTCGTGACAGGTTATCCTATTAAGTTAGAATGGTTAATACAGAGGAGAGAAGAAAAAGGCATATAAAGAGAAGTTGAGAACTGTCAGGAGATTTACCACTATGGTTACACGATAATTGTCCTTAAGGAGTCTTAGTGTAGCATGTGAACCAATGTATCCAGCACCTCCTGTTACTAGAACATGAGTTACCCCCGGCTCACGCAGCCCAAACTGAAGAAAAGTAACATTTCAGAACAATTTTGACTCACTACTAATCCTTTTTCATATAGAAAACCACTTTGTTCTGAAAAGAATTCAGAATTTGCAACATTCAGGAGCCAAACAGGTTCAGATGAACAGTTATCACAAGAATCAGGACAATCAACATGGCCATCTAAACTGCTAACAAATAGACTAAAGAGCTAAGCAGAAGGTGAAGAAGATACCTGGCTTGGGGCACTGAAAGCCGGTGATTGCTTGAGCATGATAATGCATAAAGCTGTGAGGGTGGCGGCCAGGATAATTTTTCCCACAAAGTTGTTTTTCTTTTTGGGATCTGGATAATCCATACCTATAAGAAAGTCAAAATTGAGAGTCCAAATAATAAATCCTAGAAAACTGTGCTTGTTTGAGAGACTGCTTATGAAACAATTATTTGTTCTTGGTTCAAATTTATTTTCAAGATGATCTGATAGTTTCTTTTCCAGAAGTTACCTCCTAATGCTAGAGATCTGGTGGACCTTTGTTGAGTTCTGTTTCTGCCGAAATTTAGCATTTGCCAGTTTCTTCAATTAAATGACCGATGATTTGAAGACCAATCCTCGGCCTGCAACCCGACCACCAAGAACAACTAGATTCTATCTAGCCTTCGAGATTAATTCGATATGAATTATGATGACCTGCAACAAAACAGAAAAGAATAATCAATCATACTGGACGAATGGTCAAACCTCGTTGCTTATAGTTTACCACTTGCAAGAGAATTGTTTAAAAGAAAACTAAAGTTAGAAGCGACCGATGAATTTTAAATTATAAGTTCGTAGAGGAGAAACTACGGAAATTCAAGAGCCATGTCTGGAAGCAAAACCCAATGACTAAATCAGCTAACACGGCATTTTCAGACACACAGACATACACACACCTTTTTACCCGAGAAATAAAATCCAGAACACGAAGAGTCAATTCTGAATACACAAAATGATGTGAGGCACAAAAAAAAGTCAATGGAACGATAAAAGACATGAAATAGAATAAAGAAAAAAGGAAAATTTGTTCATGAGATCCATGCCACCCATGGAAAATTACATCGAGAAACAATCAAAGAAGCAACAAAATGGTAATCAACGAAGGAAGTGTGTGAAACAGGTAAAGAAAAGACGTTAGAAGGAGGTAGGGAGGCATAGATAGAAAAGGGAGAAGAACGCACCAGAGGGAGAAGGAGAGGAGATCCTGAAGAATAGAGGTAGAAGATGGTATAGAACGGGGAAATGAAATGAAATGAAATGATCGTAGAAAAGGAAAAAGAAGTCAGAGGGTCAGCGCGTTGGGGGAAACCCCACATGAAAAAAGGGGTGGGAAATTGAGTAGAAAGGAAGAGGGGGGAAAGCNTGAAAGGGTAGAAAGAGAAATAGGGGAAGAGGAAGGGAGGGGGGCGGGGAGCGTTTGGAGGAAGAAAAGAGAAGGGGTTGAAAAAAAGGCGGAGAAAAGCGTGCATCCATCCACACAAACCTACTAATATAGTTCGGAAGGTGGGGGGGGAAGAAGAGAGTCCAAACATTTGCGTCGAATTTTCAACAAGAAACGGACAGGGGACTATATCAGACACCCAATGATCTTGATCCGGGGGAGATGGGTTTGTAAAGAAAGGGAAGGGTGGGGGGTTGGTTCTCTGGGTACGCCAATTACACGCCCACAGCTATATCAATTTCGAATGCCTGTCTCTCTCCTCATACTCGTCGCTCATAAATTCTGGGGTTTCATTTTCTCTACTCATCATTACTCTCTCATCCAATACATCAAAATCCTACAATCTTATACCCACCTAAACACTGTATCAGCATACACCATCTAAACAACATCAATTGCCTCCCCCTATTTTTTGCACAACTCCTTGTTGCCACGTACCAAAACTATCATAGTCTCTTCAAATATACCATATTACTCTTTTGTCGATTGAAATTAAATCGAGCAACATCGTGACTCAATTCTTCTATCGAACATCAATGAAATAGGTAATGTAAGTACTCTTCAAATATACCATATTAAACACATCGAAATGATTTTGTTTTTAAAGTTATGGAATGAAAAAATCCCGGTAAGGATATAACATTACATGTCTCAAACTTCTAATGGCATGGTCGTTCGTATCAATGTGTCTAACTCCTATAATATACTTTTATATTATTAAATCTCATTTTAAACCTTCATCGAGAAAAGGTAGGGTTATTCTCTCTTTTTTTATTAATTTTTCTATTTTACTTATATTTTAAATAACATTGGCCTCTTGGTTGATAGTGAGAGTGATGGAAGATTAGTAACAGCAGTTACTATTATTCCATTTCATATTTAAATATTCATAATGTTCAAATATGGTACCCTTCTAAATGCATTAAATTATTTACGAAATTCATATGCCTGTCTTTCTCAAAATTACCAAACAAGCCAAGATAATGGGCAATGGACGTTACCTTGGGATTTTAAATAGTTTTGTCAAAAATAAACATTTATTTTTTTAAAAAAAATCATGCTGAAGAAATGTCTATTTTTTACTATTCATCTCTTGACTTTTGTATGTAAATTTTTTGAAAATTATGCAAAGGTAACATCAACAAAATAATTATTCATAAGCTAATTAAATCGATTCAATCCAGTTTTATTAATTTTATCAACTCGATAAGGTTTGAGAAAGAGAGAATTGATGAAAAGTCGATTTTTTTTTTTTTTTTTTTGGCTTCTAACATAGGCAATATATTACGAAATAAGATGAATCAGATTTATTTTCATTAAAAATAAAAAAAAAATAAAAATAAAAAAAGACTCAGTAGCATTAATAATTTTGGAAATGAAAGTATTTCATTCGATGGGGTGTGACAAAAACAATAATATGGTTGCCAGTTCTAATTAATTAATTTTTATTTTATTTTTTGACGCTGAAAACTATAGTTGACATTTGGATTATTATTTTAATTGTTTGGTATTCTGTATTTGCACGTTGTTGACAGAGTGACTCAATTTTCTACTTTATTATTCAATTTTTTTTTTAATAAAATTGCCCTTTTGCCATTTGTCCATTTGTCCATTTTAATTTCAAAATATGCTCATGAGCTATAAATAATCCAATACTTGTTTTTAAATTAAAGTTATAAAGGTTGATTTTTCAAAAATGGATTTTGGATTTATAATCTAAACTTTGTAATACTTATAACAACACGGTAAATTAAATTTATCTAAAATTTTTATTGGAACGTTAATACCCAATTAATGGAATTCTTCGATCATATTTATTGTTCGAAAAGGTGATGTAGCCCATATGGTAGAAATAAATTTTGTATGTATTTGGTTATAACAACTCTTGAATCTCGAGCCACATGACATGCCAACAATAATTTTTTTCCGATCAAAAAAGTAATCGATTCACTTTTATTTTTTTTCAACCGGGGTAAAGACTAAGGTGGAATAAGGAAGGTGAAATTTTTTAGTTTAAATTATTTAATATGATTTATTTATTTCCTTCACTTTATTTCAAATGAAAGCAAGAACATGCTCCCAATTTTCTTAATTTGCCTGATTTTCATGGCCGCATGTCGCTTCTAGACTACAACTCTTAAGCAATATTTAAAATATAGAGTTATTTTTAATGGGCTTTATGAGTTTGGTTTTAATTATACCTAAGAAAGGATTCCTATGCCTTTACTTAAATTTTACTCCGCCCACTATATCTTTATTTATTTTTTATTATTATGTTTAGAGAACTTTTAAAAATCTTATATTCCATTTTGGATATTATTTTGTTAAATAATTTATATATTAATTAATGTTAAAAGAGTAAAATTTATTAATTTTTTTTTTTTCTAGGAAGAGTGGTTAAGAAAAGTAATGTTATGGTAAATTTGGATTAGTCCAAATACCAAAACACAAGAATCTAAGCTTTTACTGGTTGGGATGAGTTCTACCATGTCTTTTTTTTCTTTTTCTTTTTTTTTTTCTTCTTTTTAATTAAAAAAAAAAAAAAAACTACAATATTTAGATAAGGTTTAGTCCTTTATGCAAGTTGACTTTTGAAACTTGATTTTTATTTTCTTAAATACTAACAAACAAAAATAAGTTAGGCAATTTATTTTGGATTGAACTAGTAATTCTACTATATTAATAAAAATAAAGAAAATATAATTTTAAAATTATTAATTAAACACAATTAATACTAAACATTAAATTTGAGGTCTAATGTTTTGATTAGTTGTGGTCATGAGTTTGCATGCACAAGAAAAGTCAAATAAAATAAATAAGAGAGATTATAAAAATGAATTATATTGCTACAAATTTATAAACTATGCTAATTTTAAATCAAATCATGGTGTGGAGCACTTGTATTTTTATATTATTAAAATAATAATTATAATAATAAAAATTTGTATCGAATAATTAAAGAGATAAGAGCAGCCCTTAGGTGGGTGGGGTTAATGGTCATTTTCTTTGAAATTTTGGCGACTAAAACCGCCGTCTGCTTATTTTTAGTCCAATTATTTGTAAATAATGTTGATTTTAATCTTATTTTAATTCTTTAGGATTATTTTTATATTTATTTATATTGCCTTCTTTGATTTAATAATTATATCGGGTATGGTTATATAAAAAAAAGAGGTTGGCATGGGATATAATGCATACAATTTCTTAGTTGACCTTTACAATGATTTTTTTTTTTGTTGTTAAATAATAGGTGAATTGTCGATATTTTGATTTATAATATATATGTCTCAATCAATTAAACTATATTTATGTTGTAAAAATATATGTTATAGAATATTTGTGTTACACATTAATTATTCAACTAACTAAACTATTTTAAGTGAGTAATTCTCATTAATGAAAGATTCCTAATTACTATTTAAGTCGAGGACAATTATAAGTATTTAATTAGGTATACTAAGTGCCGTTAATTAATAAAAAAAAATTAATTATGAACGAGTCTTAAACGTCAAACTAAAGCTTAATTAAGGTTAGTAATTGTTGAGTACGTATTCTACGCATATCATTTACATCTAATTATTGATCATGGATTATTGAAAAAGGATGAAAGAAAAGCTGTAAAAGGAAAAAAGAAAGGAAAAAAAAAATTGAAAATTGGGGAATTTTGTTGAAATTAATATTTGAAGGTGGTGGCTTTTGGTGTGGGGTGGTAGATGGAGTCAAAGCTAAGGTGCTTAGAAGGGACACCATATTATATTACATCTTCAATAAGACAAATAATTAGGTCAGTATCCCCAACTAACCACCTTCGTTAGTTTTTAAATATATACGCTTTCATGAAAATAAAAAATGCGTTGTACAAAAAAGATATTAAAAATAAACTGATTCAATTTGGGATAGTTTGACCCACAATCTGTAATGGGCCAAATGGTTTCAATTTGTGTTGGGCCCTCAGCTACATATTGATAGCCCAAAAAGTAGCAAAGATGAGAACTAGGTCATGGGTTAGTTGGATTGAGGTCAACCTTGTAAGGCAACAATGGGTAGTCAACTACAAAACGGATGTGGAGTATTTAATAAAGAAGGTGCAAACCCAGAGAAGTAATATGACCGTTGCATTCTGCCCTCCCTGGTCTCGATATTACCCAACGGATGCTCAAACACAACACACAATTCAAATTTCAAAATTTCAAAACTAAAGGCATAAAGAGAAAGCTGCCATCTTTCTCCCCCAATCTTACTCCTTTCTCCCTCCTCCCCTATGTTTCTCGGATTTGGAGCTCCCAACTAGTCTATCCCACACGAACCTTTCTTCTCCGCCATAATAATAATAATCTCTGTCCCTTTGGCTCCACCTCCACTGTTCGAAGCATTTCATGTTTGTATTTCCGACAATGGAACTGGAGAAATTGTCATGAAGTTTCACTTGGCTGTTTCTCCAACGGAACCATTCTTGTCTCCGTCTTTGTTTCTTAAGGTTCATTCAGAATGAAGGAGGATAACGCATCAGAAAACAGAGGCAAACCATCTAGGTTTGCTGATCAAAATCAGTATACCAAAGGAGCCAGTGGAAATGGTTCCAAATTGAGAGCTGCTTCTTCCTGGGGTTCGCACATTGTGAAAGGTTTCTCCACAGACAAGAAAACTAAGGCGCAGACCAATCTTCAATCCAAGAAAGCGCCACTCACCAACTCGAATTTGGTAAATCAGAAGGAGAAGTCTGTTCCTTCTCATACTCGCATCAAGCGTTCGCTTATTGGGGATTTAACCTGTTCGCCAAATCCCGCTCAAGTTCATCCACAGTCGTATCAGACCCACCGCAGGCAATCTTCTCGAGATTTGTTCGTAGAGCTCGATCAACTCAGAAGTTTGCTTAACGAATCCAAGCAGAGGGAATTCGAACTTCAGAACGAACTTGCAGAACTCCAGCGGAATACTAGAAATTTTGAACTCGAGAGGGAGCTTGAAGAAAAGAAAGCTGAACTAGAGGGTCTTACTCAGAAATTTAGTCTTTTGGAAGAAGATAGAAGAGCCCTGTCCGAGCAACTAGTAGCTGCATCATCAATCACCGAGAAGCCAGAAGAGCCGCAGACTGCACCTCTAAACGTGGAAGTGGAAGTTGTTGAGTTGAGACGCTTGAATAAGGAACTTCAGCTCCAGAAGAGGAATCTTGCTTGCAGGCTTTCTTCTGTGGAATCTGAGCTCGCTTGTCTAGCAAAGAATTCTGAGGTAGGTAACATTGTGATGTTTGTGTTGGATGGACAGTTTTTTCTTTTAATGTTTACGGAACATGTAAAACATGTACCTGATGTTTTTTTTTTTTTTGTGCTTGTTATTACTACTAGAGCGAAGCTGTTGCGAAGATTAAAGCAGAGGCATCTTTGCTGAGACACACAAATGAAGATTTGTGCAAGCAAGTTGAAGGTCTGCAGATGAGCAGATTAAATGAGGTTGAGGAACTTGCATACCTTAGGTGGGTCAATTCCTGTTTGAGGAGTGAGCTTCGCAACTCGTGCCCCTCAGCAAATTCTGATAGCCCATCCAGCCCTCAGGCAATGGAGAGGAGTAGTGAACCTGTTGGATCACTATCCAGCCAGAAGGAGCACATGGATTACAATAATGCAAAGAGAATAAACGCAATTAAGAAGTTGAAGAAATGGCCCATTACTGATGAGGACTTGTCTAACTTGGACTGCTCGGATAATAATAGTCTTTTAGGCAAAAATTGGGTTGATACAGAGGAAGAAACAAGCCCCAGAAGAAGACACTCCATTAGTGGAGCCAAATGCTGGCCTGAAGAATTGGAGCCAAACAAGAGGAGGCAATCTGATGGCTTCCTGTGTGCAAAAGAGTTGGAAAAAGAAGCAGATCCTCTTTCCTCTCAGAAATATGATTTGGGCGTTATTCAAAGGCCTCATATTTTGGAAAATAACCATGAAACTAACAGGAATTTTGCCTCTTTAGATGTGGAGAAACGAGCCCTGCGCATACCGAATCCGCCTCCAAGGCCTTCCTGCTCCATTTCTAGTGAACCTAAAGAAGAAAACACAGGTCGAGTCCCACCACCTCTGCCGCCGCCTCCTCCACCCCCTCCTCTTCTTCCAAAGTTCGCTGCGAGGAGCTCCACGGGAATGGTACAACGAGCTCCACAAGTGGTTGAATTCTACCATTCACTTATGAAGAGAGATTCTAGAAAAGATTCTTCCAATGGAGCCATATGCAATGTTCCAGATGTTTCAAATGTCCGGAGCAGCATGATTGGGGAAATTGAGAATCGCTCATCCCATTTGCTTGCTGTAAGTTCTCGATCATATCATCTTCCTTTCTGATCGTAGTTCTCTTACTAGAAGACATAAATGATGTTTCATACTTTTACAGATAAAGGCAGATATTGAGACCCAGGGAGAGTTTGTAAATTCGCTGATAAGAGAGGTCAACAATGCAGTTTATCTGAAGATTGAAGATGTAGTGGCATTTGTGAAGTGGCTTGATGATGAACTTTGCTTTCTGGTATTCCTTCATTTCTCTTAAATTTAGTGCATCTGATTCAGACATAATAGGAAGAATTTGAACTTAAAAGGAGAACCAAGTAAAAGAATGCATGCTGTAGGTTGATATTTCTATGAACATCCTATAAATCATTTTGTTTAAGAGTAGAGTATTTTGCTGACGATTAATATCCTCAAAGGTGGATGAAAGGGCAGTTCTGAAGCACTTTGATTGGCCAGAGAGAAAGGCCGACACATTGCGAGAAGCAGCGTTTGGGTACAGAGATCTAAAGAAATTGGAGTGTGAAATCTCCGCCTACAAAGATGATCCCCGATTGCCTTGTGAAATTGCTCTCAAGAAAATGGTTACTTTATCAGAGAAGTAAGGACCTAAAGCTTCCTTTCCATATCCTGACTTGGTTTGTTTTCCTTGAGTCAATTAGGCTAAACAATGTCTTTATGCAATCAGGATGGAGCGTAGTAGCTACAACCTTCTCCGGATGAGAGAATCATTGATGCGAAATTGCAAAGAGTTCCAAATTCCCATAGATTGGATGCTCGACAATGGGATCATAAGCAAGGTAAAACTTCATAACATGTCATATGCCTTAGGAAGAAGAGCACTTTTGAGCTCAATGTTGTAGATTAAGAGTTGGGTTCAAGAACACGCTGCCTTATTTTTGCTGGATAATTTCTAAATAACAACCGTAGTCTAAGTGTATCTGAACGAACCTCAATTGAACTGTATGTTGTAGATAAAGTTGGGTTCGGTGAAGTTGGCTAAGATGTACATGAAGAGAGTAGCAATGGAGCTTCAGTCAAAGAGTTCATCAGAGAAAGATCCCGCAATGGATTACATGCTTCTTCAAGGAGTGAGATATGCGTTTAGAATTCATCAGGTAAGCATTCGTTCTCACTGCATTTTTCTTCAGGAAAACGGACATATGGTTTTGCTGATTTGCCTTTCCCGGGTGCAGTTTGCAGGAGGCTTCGATGCAGAAACAATGCATGCATTTGAGGATCTGCGAAACTTGGCAAACCTTCTGAATAAGAAGTGAAAGTTACAGGACAGGGCATTGAGTGACATCGGTTAATTTTGGTTTACTAACTCGGTAAGCAGCTAGCCACCATGCTCATGCTGGCAAAATACATTAATCAAGCCAAGAGGTCATGAGTGGTGTTCATTTTTCCTCTTATGGGACATTTTTGGATTTGGAACTTAGAGCTGCTGGTAAGCTAGGGAGCTTTGGTCTTACCCAATCAGATAGATCTTCAATGAATTATATTTTTGTCCTCTGCCATCCTTCCTACTCTCTTCATGAACCCAAGTTCTTCCTCCAAAGCATATCCTGCGGAAAGACAGGCGGCGGACTGCCAGAGGGAGGATGATAGCTTTAAAATATATTTATGTAAATTGTGTTTCTTAGTTAATGATTTTTGGGCATGTGGACGTGTGTTCAATAAGAAAACAGGTTTCTATTGTGTCTTAAAGAAACGTTTCATAGGCTGTGATTGTATTTCTTGTAAATATTGAGAGAATTTGAAATCACAAAGCACAGGTGCATGGCTTTCAAATCACATCACCTTCAATTATTCTAAAAACAAAATCAGTCCCTCCTACAGAACAAATTATAAAAAAAACTCTGAAATATCTCTCTGCACTTATTTTTGTATAAATCCAAAAACAGGTCCAGAAATCACATCTCTCAGACAACCATTATGTGTTTTTGTTAAAAAGACGAACACTCTAAACAAAAAGGTCAAAAAACAAATCAACTTAAAAAGAGGAAAAGAAAAGAAGCGAATTGAGGGATCCAATAAATGGTGAGAAGGAGGTGGATTTGGATGATTGATGAAATCTAAAGCAGTGGTGGAAAGGGAAATACGAAAGGACCGGAAGATTTGACATACAGAAAAGACCTAACATTGCCTGTATTTACCCCATCTTGGGCGCCAAACTACAAAAGAGGCAGACAAACAACACTCTGCCAACCCCATAAACAATTTTTTTTTTTTTTTTTTAAAAGTAAGCCTCCGCTCCATCACCCTATTCTGTCTTTTTTCTTCTACCTTTAAGCTTCATTTTCCATCTCTCCTCATTTTTGCCATCTCCTGGCTCTTGCTAACCCACCCCCACCTCTTACAGCCAACATTTATTATTGAAAACTTCATTTATCGGTAAATTCTGATGTTGTTGCAGAAGAAAAGACCATTGTCTAGTACTATATAGTACCACTGTGTGTCAAGATGTTCAAGTATCTGGGCCACATTCATAGCTTGTGTTCTAACTATGGCACTTTTCTCAAGAACTACGATTACTGCTTCTTCCTCACGTTACAGAACACACCATGTATTACTATATATATAGAAAATGTAAGAATATAACTGGAATTGACATCATTTGATAGAAAAATTAGGGTGTGGGGGAAATTGTATTGGTTGGGTAATTAATTGATTTGGAAATACGCAATGAACAGTAAAGTGAGTAAGAAATTGAAGTGATGTGACCTGTAGTTGGGGATTTACGCGAAATTTTGGAGCCATTCCCGTCCCATCGAACTGCCACGGAAAGCTTAGTAGTCACATCCACCACGATCCCACGGCAGATGAAAACTTTCCATCCCACCGGCGAAAAATGGTGTTTTTTACGCCTTATTCTGCCCCAAATTTCCCAATCTCCCCTTCCAAATTTCCATCTCCAACTCGTCTGCTTCTGCTTATCTTTTTCGGGAATTCCTCTTAGAATATCTCTCCTCTTTCCAGGCTCCAGCGGCATGATACATCTTCCAAAAAATAAAAGCCTAATTTTATTATTTATCAACAAATTTACACTTCGTCACCTATTTCAATCATTCGTCCCAAAAAAAATGTTTTAATTATTTTCTAAAACATTGAGATGGAATAACCAGTGAAAATGTAATAGGATGTTTATTTTATTCATTTATTTGAAATTGGGAGGATTGGATGGAAATTAAAAAAAAAAAAAAAAAAAAAAAAAAAAAAAAAAAAAAAAAAAAAAAAAAAGGAAAATTAAGATAAGGCATTAGAAAGTGAGAGGTGTGAATGCACAAAAGTAAAAGTAAAAGTAAGAAAAAGAGATGTGATTTGAGAGAGATTAGAATAGAATCTGAGTGAGTGGTTTGGGAGAAAATAAATTAAGAAAAATAATAAAGTTTCTGGAATACTCAAGTTAGTAATGAGGTTTGGAAATGATATATTCAAATTGTCATCACTTGCTTGGTTTTGTTCCATAGGCCCTCTCTGTCGCTCACCATCTCTCTCTCCCTCTCTTCCCCTTTATATATTCTTCCACTCCCACTCTCCCTTCTTCCCACCTCATTGTTCCTCCCTTCCTTCTCTCTGCCCACACCCGCTTCCTCTCCCCCTACCTCCCCTCCTACCCTCTTTCTCCATTTTCACTTCGTATTATCTATACACTTCTATATCAATACCCGATCATGTTGGCTTTGGAAGCTTCCTCCGACAACCACCTCCCGTATCCTCTCTTGGTTCCATCTCCACACCCACCTGCACCCAGCAGGTGCTTGCTTCTCATTGCTTTTCTGCAAATTATACACCAATTTATTTTTTTATTACTAATTCAAGTTGGACTTTTAAATGTAACCAACGCAGGTACGAGTCACAGAAGCGGCGAGACTGGAACACCTTCGGGCAGTACCTAAAGAACCACCGCCCTCCACTCACACTCTCGCGCTGCAGCGGAGCTCATATTCTGGAGTTCCTCCGCTACCTGGACCAGTTCGGAAAGACCAAGGTCCACACCTCTTGCTGCCCGTTCTTCGGCCACCCACACCCACCTGTGCCCTGCCCCTGCCCACTTCGACAGGCCTGGGGCAGCCTCGACGCACTCATCGGCCGCCTCCGCGCTGCCTTTGAGGAGAATGGTGGCCACCCGGAGACCAACCCCTTTGGCAGCCGAGCCGTCAGGCTCTACTTAAGGGAAGTTAGAGACTCGCAGGCTAAAGCCAGAGGAATCGCTTACGAGAAGAAGAAGCGTAAGAAATCCGCCTTGGCTCCTCTGAAGAAGCACCAACGACATGCCCATGCCCAAGAGGATCAACCCATGCTCTTCTTGGATCACTCGGCTTCGTGAACACAATTCCATCCAACCTATTAATCCCATCAAATTAATTAATCGTACGTGCTTTTGATGTAATTAAATTAGCGATTTAATTGTGCTTAGCTAGCTATGTAGAATCCCATTATCTTGTTTTTATTTCCTATTTATTATGTGGAAACCCCCAAAAATATAGTTTTTATTCCTGCTTAATTACCCCATTGCCTATCTCGTCTTTTTTTAAAAACAAAAAAATCGCAAACTATGATTATATATATTAACTACAAATAAAAATTAGATTTTAAAAAGAAAAATAGACATCAATTGTCTTATCCCTTTATAATGCATTAAAATAAGTGCTCGTTCATCACATTCTTACACTTCTCAACTTCTACATCATTATTTTATGTATTTATTATTTTAAGAAAGCGTTTATTTTTAGATGCTATTTTCATATTTATTTTTCGTGTGTGTATGTATATATATATATAAACTCTACTTTTTGTCTTGTATTTTTTTAAAGTTGTAATATTATTTTTAAAATAAAAGTTTGTTAAAATGAAATGATTTTGTTGCGGCCAAGACACTTGCGTAGATTAAATATTTACTTTTTACTCAACAATTTTTGTGTTATAAGGATAACTAAAGACGTTATATGGTATATACATTCTAACAATTTTATAATTTAATAAGTGTTTATGAAAATTAAAATATATTTTAAAATTAAACGCTGAGTTTATAAATAGTTATTTTTTAGAAAAAGTCAAAACATTTGGAGAGCCGTTTGCAATCGACGTGGCCGGTCGAGTCAGTTGGTCGAAAATGGAATGCGGTTTCAGAGGAGGGGAAAGGAAAATTTGGGTCAATCAACCAGACACGTGGGCGGTGGAGATTGGAAGACCCAATCATCGACTGCCTTCACCGGAGTCGACGTGGCCGTCGCCGGCCTCGACCCTAAGTAAGTGAGACGTGTCAATACCTTTCTATTGTGTCGTCTACGCTAATCAACTCCAATGCCGGTGGCGGTAGCCGAAAGTAGACTTCAGCAGACACCAGCTTCGATTTCAACGACACTGTGAGTGGCGCCAAGTTACAATTTTCATTAACCCCAAATTGGAACCATTTTAGCTGGTAATCGTGCGGACCATGGAACAATTGCAGCTGAATTGCGCCACTCGATTTGTTATTACCACTTACAGCAACGAATAGAGATATAAAGACAATGCGTCTTTTCCATCCCACTCTAATCCTTTCTCTCCATTTGTGTTCCTTAACTAGATAGGTTGCTTAAAATAAGTTCTTTTGTAATGTATTTTTCACTTTATAGGAACTGCTGATCAAATATCATTTATGAATTTGTTTAAGGAATAGGAATTTCCTCTGCTTTTTAGAGACATCAAGCCTCATAATTTCCTCTGCTTCATCTGGAAATGGAGAGCTGAGTTCTTAGTGTCTTTGCAGGCCAGCCTAAAAGACACCTTCTAACAACTGGATGGATGATATAGCATGCATTTACGACTCCTTGCTGCTGCAGCCCATGCAGCTGCTACCAATTGTTTAAGTATAAATAATTCGTTTTCATATGTTATAACTATATACCGAGTTTAGAAGGGATACATGAATGAATCACTTGTGATTTCTTAAAGTAATGCTTCAATCTTTACTTGCAGCTGAGATGAGGAAAAAGCCTAACAAGACCAAGAGACCGTCTGTTACAACTCTACTTGGTACATTCATTTTCTGAATATGCAAATTGTTGGGTTATTTCCATAACATATTCCTACGTTCTGGCTCTCTGTTTGACCCTCTCACCTCTTTCCTGGCCACACCAAATTCTCCACCGCACCCTATTCAAACAAGTTTTCCTAACCATTTGCCAACTCATCTGGAAGTCTCGGAACGCCCCGACCCGTCACCTCGTTCGACAGAATCACCGAAACTGTCAAAGTCAACAGTCTCATTATATTACTTGTTAATCACACATTCGAAGAACTGGAATCGAGTAGAACATAAAAAATTGTTTTAGAGTTTATTTCATTTTCTATGGCAAAGAATTGATATTCAAATGGTTCCATCTTTTGATATGTGATAGATAAGATAAAGATAAGGGTGTGAGATCTAACATATCCCTAAAAGGAAGGAAAAAGCTTGACATTTCATCCCATGTCAAAGCAAAGTAAGATAATGGCTACTTGGCAGTTAAGGGTATGCTTAAAAATCTTCTAAAAACAATATTAAAAGAAAAAGGTGTGAGATTGTTAAGCAAAACAAGATTTGGTAACATTTTATACAGCTACCAATCACAGTGAAGAGATGGATGTGATATGGTCAAAGTTAAAAAGACGGGGAAAGCTTTTACCTTTTTACTTTATCCCGTAGAAATGGGCGACTTTTATCTATGAAAACGGTTATATTTTTAATTTTATAATTTCATGCGGTTGTAGTGTTTTATCATCCACTTTCTTTTTTAGATTCAATGATGGTTTAACGCCCACTAATTGCAATAGATACAAATATCTCAATTATCTGGGGGCACCTAAACCACTAATTTTGGCTATTATATATAAACCTATACGATGGAAATGATATCCTTCCCTGACTATGCATTGGTGTATCCATCCACTCACAAGTGTTTGAGAGTATAACAGTCATCCCTTTTGGAAGAACAAATAAAAGAAGAGTATTTGATGAAGAAAATGAAAAGGAAAGGAATTAGAGGTTTGTCAACATCACGAAACACCACTTTGCATCAATCCCTATATCGTATCATGCAAAAAGCAAAGAATTGTATAAAGGGAGTGATGCCCAACAAAAGAGAAGCACAATTGAAACATCATATATATCTATGTTTTTTGCATATAATATTCATGCATATAATGCCATGAAAAGCGAAAGGGCAGACAAAACCAAGCCCAAGCATGTAAAAGGAAAAAAGTTAAAGCCAAAATTGAAGGAAGAGGTCATGTTGAGGAAAATGCTTCATGGGTTGCCCTGGTCTAGTGCCACTTCCCTGCACTCTATTCATCTATCCTGCTCTTTGTGTACCCCACCCCACTCTACCGAGCCCTTCTTCCACAAAACAAAACATGTTTTGGCTGTAAAGAGACAACTTTGAGGTTTTGTTCATACCATCATATATGCCCATCTTCATCCGCTATTCCATTCAATTATATTAACTATTCTTTTGGGGTTGACTAAACATGGTAAAGAGTGTATGTTGAAATGGGGCCATGTGGGTGATTTGCACATCAAGTTGAGAGTTGTGCCTAGAAACACAAGTTGGGTCATGCTATAGTAGCTAGCAAGGCCACAGAGTCCAAATTAATTTGATATATAATATGAATGGAATTGCTAAAGAAAGGTTCTTGGCCAAACACCCTTTGATTTGGTTGCCTAATCTTAGCTTCATCTCGAGTTGATGAACTTGATTAGAAAGAGCTGTTTTTGGACCTCAAAAAGTGGTTAGGCCCCCTTTATGTATAAAACCAACATTATGATTACCCTCCATTTTGGCTCTAGGCACACATGTCCCTAATTCCATTTATTATAGGTCTTCTAAAGACATCGTTGAAGCCTATGGGGTACAAGAAACATTTCAAGGAAGTTGTGCCACTGAACGACGGATCGCTTCTGCTTGTTGTAGATTGTTCTTCCTTACGATGAGCATAACCCTTTTGACCACTCTTTTAAACTCAACAAAGATGATATATTTCGACCTTTTACGCTCATCATCTCACTATCTCACACGTACTAATCTTGAAATGAGCACAAAAAAGGGATCTAACTACATGCTTACGTTAAAAAAAGAACACCATCTCTTGCAATCTACGAAATATGATTTCAGACATGAATTACGCAAATCTCAACCCTCCTTTGTATAATTTCTAAGCCATTGTATTGATTTTTACTTGATCAAACTTCGTAACCAAAACCCAGAAATCTAAATGCCTATATCATCATCAAAGTTGGGAAAAATCCCTGCAACGCAGCTACACGGAGCAGTACATCGATCATTGATTTTGTTGTCTGATTGATTTCATTACAAACATAAATCTGATATTTTCACTCCATTCAATTTGGTCGGATTTGGACATGCCGTATGTTCTTGCATGCTTCATTGCTTCAACCAACCTATCATATCTTTTAAATCATTAGAAAAATTATACGATCCCATATCGTGGTACAATCATATGTCAAATTTATATGTGATGGTTATTAAGGACGTATGAATTTCAAATTTTCATAGGGCAACCAAATTATACCCGTTGTATTAAATAATTCTTCCATTGAAAGAGACGGGATCTTCATTTCAAACAAAATCATGAAAGCTTATATCCAAATGGACTATCATACAATGTGAAGAAATGTGGAAGGTTGTTGTCTCTAACCGTAATAACCGAAATAAAAAATAAAGTCACCCATGTTTATACTCGAGGTGAATAATATCGCGAGAATTTATATTTAAAATAGACAATATCATACCAATATAAAGGTATGTGGAGGGTCGTTGTCCCTAACCGACCACAAACTTATCAATTAGTTATTATATTTTACGTGTAGACTAGTAACCCATATACAGACAAAATTCTTGGTCATTATTTAAATTATTAATGCAAATGGGCTGTGTTTGGATTAGGTTAATTACTCTTAATTGATTTTTGAGATCTGTACTAAAATTAACAATGACCATACAAAAAAAGAATTAAAATATAGGATCTCAAGATTTGATTTTTTAAAATGAAAAATTAGAAACCAAAAGTTCTTGTTGTAGGAGGCAATTATTTCTTTAATTTATCCACCTATCACAAAATTCCATCTTCCCACGTAGGAAAATAATATTCCATAATATGTACTTGATCTTCAAGATATTTAATAATTTATAAATATGGCGATGTGTATTTTAAAAGTAGTGGCCACGTGTCACAACACCCGCAATGCCATGTGGAAATTAAATAATTATAAACAAGTTGATGAGGTTGCAGGCATCTTATTTTATATAATTTATTTTAGAACAATAAATTTATTCCAATCGTGATGCCAATAATTTGCGGTGAAAGTTGGCAATTTAAAGGCCATCTATTACGAAGGAATTCTTGAAATAATAATGAATGAGAGAACTCTATGGTTATGATTATTATATTCATGTAAAGGAGCTTGCC